CTCTCCCTTCCCTCCTCCTCCCTCCTCCCGCCTCTCACCCTCTCCCCTTCCTCCCCTCCCCCCCCCCTCCTCCTCCCTCCTCCCCCCCTCCCTCCCCCTCCCCTTCCCCTCCCCCTCCCTCCTCCCCCTCTCCCTCTCTCTCTCTCCCTCTCCCTCCCCCTCTTCCCACTCCCTCTCCCTCCTCCCCCTCTCCCTCCCCTCCCCCTCTCCCTCCCTCCCCCTCCTCCTCCCTCCTCCTCCTCCTCCCCTCCTCCTCCTCCCTCCCCCTCCCTCCCCCTCCTCCCTCTCCTCCCCCTCTCCCCTCTCCCTCCCACTCCTCCTCCCCCTCCCCTCCCCTCCCCCCACCCCGGCGCCATTGTGGGAGGGACAGTCGGCCGCCGCAGAGACGCCCGGACCCTCGGCGCGGCTGAGGGCTCCTAAGTCACCTTCTCACGGGACGGAAATTTGAGCATAAAGGACTTCTTTTTTTTTGTCTTTGTGCCACGGCGGGCGACAAAGGCCGGTGAGGGGGGAGGGGAGGGGGAGAGGGGTAGTGCGCGGAGGAGGGGGTGGGTGGGGAGGGAGAGGGTGGGTGGGGAGGAGGGCTTTTGAAGTGTGAAAAGGGACGGTGGGGGGGTGGGGGGCGGCTGCTCGGTCGTGGTCAGGGAGCTCTTAGGTTTATTTATATACTTATATGCACATATATGTGAGTGTATGTGCAGTATACATATTCATGTGAAATATATATATAATATATATATATATATATATATATATATATATATATATATATATATATGTATATATGTATATATGTATATATATTATATATATATATATATATATATATAATATATATATATATATACATACTATATATATATATATATAATATATATATATATATATATATATATATATATATACATACATATATTATAATATATAATATATATATAATATAATATACATATACATACATATATATATATATAATATATATATATATATATATATATTATATATATTTATGTATATGTATATACATGTATATATGATATTTACACACATACACGTACACATACATGTATGCGCATACGCGTTTATGAATATGCTTGGTTATAACTCCAGCATTAATCCCTTTTAATAACGGCTATTGCATTCGCCTTTCCTCCCGCCCCCACCACCCCCACCCACCCCCGAGGGATAATATCCGAAAGCCCATATAAGCGGCAAAACCCCCGGGGGACGCGGACCAGAAGTCATCAAACCCCCCCCGAACGACATCTCCGGCGGCCATCTTGGTTGTCGCGGGAAAAAAAAAAGCGCGGGATCTTTTGGCGGGAAGAAACAAATGAAGATCGCCGGCGAGTGATAAATATGTAAATGCAGCTGTTTTAAGACTCTTTGTCTGCCTGGCCGCCGCGGCTTTTCAGATAAGAGCCGTGAATGGAATTTTATGGGAAGCATGTATAATATGTGGTGTTTTGAAATATGACGGTCTGGATAAAACAAAACTAAAAAAAGATTGCTTGATGGTATGCACAAGCACATAGAAGGAGACATGGGTATACCGTGAAATATGTAGTAGAAAGTGCACGCCTATCTCTCTCTCTTCCTCTCTCTCTCTCTCTCTCTCTCTCTCTCTCCTCTCTCTCTCTCTCTCTCTCTCTCTCCTCTCTCTCTCTCTCTCTCTCTCTCTCTCTCTCTCTCTCTCTTTCTCTTTCTCTCCTCTCCCTCTCCTCTCCCTCCTCTCTCCCTCTCTCTCTTCTCTCTCTCTCTCTCTCTCTCTCTCTCTCTATATATATATATATATAATATAATATATATAATATATATATATATATATATATGTGTGTGTGTGGTGTGTGTGTGTGTGTGTGTGTGTGTGAATGTGTGTTGAGTGTGTGTGTTATATGTACACGCACACACACGCACACACACACTATAAACTATATACTCCCGCATTCACGTTCCCGCAAACACATTTTCGCAAATCCAAATATCCAGAAATCTTATCTCTTCTCCGTTGTTCGCGGCGACTCGACCCCTCGCGGTTTAGAAATAGCTCCGGGCCAGGATTTTACCGTAAACAGAGCTGGCAGCGCGAACGAGTCCAAGTCTGCGTGAATCTGCTTGGTTCTTGTGCTTTGAGGGCTAAGGCACACGCACGCACAGACACGCACACACACACACACTTTCTATCCTATGGAAATAGGATAGAAAGAGAATAAGCAGGATGGAGGATATGCAGAAAAAGGGAAGAGAAAGAATTGAAGAGGATAAAGGAAGTGGAAAAATAGGAAGAGAGGTTGAATAGAATTAAGGAAGTGAAAAAAAGGAGAAGAGGAATGAATGGGAATTTTGGAATCAGAAGAGAGGAGGAAGTGACCGTGAAGAGAATTAAGGAAGTGAGAAGAAAAAGAGATAAAGAGAATTAAGAAAAGAGAAATGGAAAGAGAGGGATGACAAAAATAAAGAAAATTAAGGAAAGGAAGATGGAAATTCAAAGAATATTCGTAAAAGGTTAATGAAAGGGAAGAGACGGAGATAAGGAGAATAAAGGAACAGGAAAAGGGGAGGAGGAAGAGGAAGAAGTAAGAACGGATAAGAATGACATAACGACTTAGAAAAAAAACAGCTGGAGAGAATTCGCTATCTGGCATCCTTGGGGAGAGGAGATGTGGGGGGGGGGGATAATTTTTATCGGTGAAGATCTGATAAGAGCGTCGCGTCCTTCAAAGGATTGGGGGATGGAGGAATAGGGGTTAGGGGATGGAGGAATAGGGGGGCTAGGGGCTTGGGAATAGGGGGTTAGGAGCTGGGGGAATAGGGGGGGCTAGGGACTGCGGGAATAGGGGGAATAGAGGTGTTAGGGGCTTGGGAATAAGGGTTTAGGGGCTGGGGGAATAGGGGGTTAGGGGTTGGGGAATAGGGGGCTAGGAGCTGGGGGCTTGGGAATAGGGGGCTAGGGGCTGGGGGAATAGGGGTTTTAGGGCTTGGGAATAGGGGGTTAGGGGCTGTGGGAATAAGGGGTTAGGGGTGAGGGAATAGGGTTGGGAATAGGAAGCTAGGGGTTTGGGAATAGGGGGTTAGGGGGGGAATAGGGGGTTAGGGGCTGGGGGAATAAGGGGTTAGGGGTTAGGGGCGGGGGAATAGGGGGTAAGGGGCTTGGGAATAGGGGGCTAGGGACTGCGGTAATAGGGGGGCTAGGGGCTGCGGGAATAGGGTTGGGATAGGGGTTAGGGCTGGGGAATAGGGGGCTAGGGGCTGGGGGAATAGGGGGGCTAGGGACTGCGGGAATAGGGGGAATAGAGGTGTTAGGGGCTTGGGAGGAGGGGGTTTAGGGGCTGGGGAATAGGGGGTTAGGGTTGGGGGAATAGGGGGGCTAGGGACTGGGGAATAGGGACAGGGGGGCGACTAGGGGGCTAGGAAGGAGCCAGAGGAGAGAGGGAGAAGGGGACCAGTTACCTCGCTGTGTTGACAAAACTCTACGGGGTTTTGTCGCCGGATTTCGTTATGTTCCACACAACCCTGAGGACTTGTGTCTGCTTTGGACAAGACGAAGAGCGAGAATTATAGAGTTTTGAGGTGTTCTTGAAGCGAACATTAAAAGCGATGCAGATGAGGAGGGAAATTGGGAAAAAAATATATTGTTTGATACCTATGCACAGATTTCTTGGCAGTGTATGTGAACCAAGCTTGATGAAATGGAGGCAATGAATGTCCTTGTTGTTGTTTTTCTTTCTTTCTTTCTTTGTCGTGTATGTGTGTGTGTGTTTGTGTGTGTGTGTCTTTGTGTGTGTGTGTGTGTGTGTGTGTGTATGTGTGTGTGTGTCTGTGTCTTTGTGTCTTTGTGCTCGTTTGTGTGACCAAAAGTTCACTCGTGTTTGCATCTGTTAGTCGGTATGTATGTCTTTACTTTTGTTGTTTTTAGTGCTAATAGCATAACCTTCGTTTGATATTAATGCATTTTTTTGTTAATACAAATACTAAAGCATTTCACTCTTTCTTTCCCTGGATCAGAAAACAAGGTCTTACACTCTCTCTTTTTCACCTTGAAGTTTTTGAAGGTTTACGTGCATTGTCAACACCTAAGACACAAAAAAAAACCCGGGCCAGTCTTAGAGAGAGAGAGAGAGAGAGAGAGAGAGAGAGAGAGAGAGAGAGAGAGAGAGAGAGAGAGAGAGAGAGAGAGAGAGAGAGAGAGAGAGAGAGAGAGAGGGATAGGGGATAGTACCTGGATGAAAAGAGGTAAAAGGGAAAGAGAGATAGGAAAGGAGAGAGAAACGCAGACAGAAAGAGAGAGAGCGTCAGCAGTATCGTTTGGGCGTTTTTAGAGAAAACCGCGTGACCTCTCAACAGCAGGTCATAAAAGTGGTTGTTGTTGGTTTAGGGGAAAAAATGCTTTTAGAGGTGTGTATAAAAGGTATGAATGAGAATGGATATCTTCACAATACAAGAGATGTATTTGGCCGGTTTCGATTCTATCTTCGTCAGAAATACAGACGAAGATAGAATCGAAACCGGTCAAATACATCTCTTGTATTGTGAAGATATTCGTTCTCATTCATACCTTTTCTACATCTGTCAACATGAATACGGTTCATTTTAGAGGTGTATTTGTTCTTAATACAATTATTTATTATTGTTATACAGCGCGTCATAGTAGTGGTTGTTGTTGGTGGCTAGGGAAAAATACTTGTAGAGATGTACTTGATCTTATTACGATTATTTGTGTGTATTGTGTGTGTGCATATATATATATATATATATATATATATATATATATATATATATATATATATATATATATTATATATATATATATATCTGTGTGTGTGTGT